TAATTAATTGTTAAATGCCATTGAGTCAGTTCCGACTAACAGCAACCCAGTATAGGGTTTCCTAGGAGCAACTGGTGACTCTTAACCGCCGACCTTGTGGTTCAAACTGATGTTATTAAAAAATATGTTTGTGCATGCACATGTGTTTGCTTGTATATACACACTAAATACAATGGCCATGAACAGGGAGAAGTTTTTTAGTTTGGAAAGTGATATGAACTACTGTTGGATAGAATTTGTCACTCCCAGCTAACATAGTAAGACAGAATTTTGTTGTTAGTGAGGTAGAGTGGGAGTTAGTTAGCCCCCGCTTAAAGATCAACTTGGTCTTGGGCTTTTGGCTAATATTTACTGTGGAAATATTTCTTGTAGGAAGTCAAGGAGAAAATGGGAATCATTTAACAGAAAAATCACTTGTGTTACTCAGCATTTTTACATTTTAGTGATAAATGTCATTGCAGGCATATTTTAAATGATAATCTCATATGGCCAGATCATAGTTTAGTCTCCTATTTGTGTATATTGTCCTGATTTTATAAAATGAGTGTCTGTCTTGGGGAAATACAAATAAATGTCTGGAAATACAAATAAATTATCTATGTATATGATAAGTGCTAAATTATTTTCTGAAGTACTTTAAGGTTAAAGCTAAGGGGCTTTAATACATGCCACACGTGAATCTTTTCAGCTGGGCAAGGAGGACTGATCAGCGTCTCATGTTTCAGGAAATAACATAAAGCACATGCTTGTTTTCTTTACTTCTTCAAAGTAGCATTATTCAAAACCAAATTTAGGGCATGCAATTGTATATAGTAACTGTTATTGTATGCCCTTTTTATTTATTTAAATTAATAAACTTTTAATTATTTTCCTTTCTTTTTTAGATTTTTTTGTTGCATCTGTGATTATTTTATATGTTGTCATATTATTCATCATGTTACATCCAGTTGCCTCTATTGACCAGGTTCTTCAGGTAAGGATTAGGTCCCATAATTTATTATTGGTTTTTGATGGTACATTGCACCTTAGATAGTAGTTGTTGCTATTGTGTGCCTTCAAGTTGATTCCAACTCATAATGACCCTGTATAGGATTTCAAAGGAGTGGCTGCTGAGCTCAAACTGCTGACCTTGCAATTCAGACCTGCCTTGTAGTTCAGTGCATTAACCCACAGTGCCACACCAGGTCTCCGATATAGCAGTGTTTTTGTTGTCAGGTGCCGTCGAGTCAGTTCCAATCCATAGCGACCCTGTATAAGGTTTCCGAGGAGCAACTGGTGAGCTTGAACTGCCAACCTTGCAGTTCAAACGGCTTTACAGTTTCGTGCATTAACCCACAGCATCACACCAGGACCTATATAGCAGTAGTAAGATAATAATAGAAAATAACATTAGTATTACATGAAATTTTAGTAAAAGCCACAGAAAGGGTATGTAATTGGGACTTAGGAGCTAGCCCTCTCCTTTGCCTTACCTTACCAGGGTAAACCTGCCCACATTCCTTTTTCTCAGGACCATTTCTTAGTAAATTTTCTAAGATAGAGTTATATTAACCCCCACTACATGAAAAGATGGAGCTTTCTACTCCCGTAAAGATGTACAGCCTTGGAAATCCTGTACAGGGTCGCTATGAGTCGGAATCGACTCCGCAGCACATAACAACAACAACAACAACTTGCAAAAATTAATTGGCCATGGAGTCAGTGACCCCATGTCATGTCAGAGTAGAATGGTACTCTGTAGTGTTTTTAATGGCTGAAGTACATCTCAAGGCCTCTCTTTTGAAGTATCATTAATGGACTTGAACCTTTAACTTTTGGGTTTAGAGTTGTTGTTGTTTGTGCTAGTGAGTTGGTTCCAACGTATAGCAACCCTGCATAGGGTTTCCCAGGCTTTAAATCTTGACAGGAACAGAAAGCTACATCTTTCTCTCCATGCAATGTTGTTGTTGTTGTCTAGTGCCATCAAGTTGGTTCCGACTCATAGCGACCTTGTACAGGATTTCTGGGGCTGTAAATCTTTATGGGAGCAGAAAGCCTCATCTTTCTCCTGCAGAACAGCTCATAGTTTCAAACTGCTGGCCTTGTGGTTCACAGCCCAATTCGTAACCACTACACTACCAGAGTTCAATGCAGTAGCAACTTTTATTTGCTAAACCTGTTACTTTTATCTTTCTTTATTTTTTTGTTCATAGTCTTATTTCAGTTGTTTACAAACAAGTTGAAATGTCTCTTGGTCTTCAAGAGCAAAAATAGCCTTGATCCTGATAACTCTTGTTAATTTTGTCCTTTACCAACCTCCGTCTTGTGTAATCTGCAATGATGTCTCTTCTTTACTATTTAGTGCACTCTTTTTATTAAATAATTTGTGAATCGTGAAATATTTTGTATTTGCAGACATACACACCATGTGGTATATTAAGCATAATAATAATGCAGTGAACGACTATGAGTCCTTCACCCAAACTAAAAAAGTTAACATTGCCGATGCCATCGAGGCATCCTTGTGTATCTTCCTCCAGACCTCATGAGAGAACCTGTTCTGATCTTTTCCTCTCATTCTCTGACTTTTCATTATGGACTTAGCATGTATGTATGAGATCATAAAATAGTTTAATTTTCTTTAAGAGTCAGATTGTGTAGAAGTTATGGATTTTTGTCTTTATCTAACAGCCTGGTTGAACTTTCTCCCAATTTGTAGATCTCTAGGGTTTTCTGTATAGATTGCCATCATTTATAAACAATTATAAATTTCCTCTGACATATCCCTTCCTTATATTATTTGTAGTATTAGTGAATATTCTTGTCTTCTTCCTGGTTGTAATATTTCACTGAGAGGATGTTTACTGTAGATTTCTGGACATAGGTACTTTCTAAAGTAAGGTTAAGGAATCTTCCTTTTATAGTGTTCTTAACATGAATTAAGGGTGTTTGATTTTTAGTATTTTTGCTTGTAGGCATATGAGTGAGATCTGACTTTAAATATTTCCTTCTTGTATGTCATCAAGTTTAGATATCAGTTATATAGGCCTCGTGGAAGAAGTGTTTCATTGCATGAATTTTCTCATAGTGTATTCCACAAGTCCTCTTCTGATGGATTTTTAGGTTGTCTCTAATTTACCTTTTCTAAAATGAATCTTACCATGCTTTCTCTCAACCCTGCTTCTTGTCTGTTTCTTGGCATCACCACTTAGCCAAGTCATGAACAAATATCTCTGTGTGTTTGTATGCATTTTCTTGTCTTTTTCTTCTCTTTTTATAGTTGACTACAGTTCTTCCTATTTTTTTAAATTTAATGTTTCATTGTGAATTATGTGATAGTTTGCATGGGAGAACATTAGCTTTACATTCATCCTGTCGTATATTGTTTCATCTTCCTATTTTTTTAATCCAGAATGTCTGTTTCTTCCTTTCCTTTAATCCCTTTTGTTTAACCTGAGTTGAGACTACTCTCCTCTATTGCCTAGATTACTATGGCTATCTTCCCCACTGTATTCCTATAGTGTTCATTCTAAAAAATGTAGATCATATCACTCCTTATTAACTAGCATAGTATCACAGGTACTTGATAAAAAATATTTGCTAATTGAATATGAATTCATGAATGGGGTTTTCTTTTTTAAGCTTTACAGATTTTAAAGTAAACAAATTGGATTTTTTAAACTCTAAGTTCTTTTATGAATTTGTGTTATTGTGATGAGAGTTTCGATTTACAGTGAAAGTCAGAACTTGATAGGACCATTTTTATAATGCACAGTTTCCACCTTTGAGAGGGTGCATACAGTCTTACCACATTTCTGTCACTTATATAATGGAAAACATCCATTTCCCTGTGACAGATTTTCACCTAACATAGGTTCCAGCTTTTGCTTAATGACAGGATTTTACTTTTTAAATTATGGGCATGGTGTAGTTGTTAAGTGCCGTCGAGTCAGTTCCGACTCATAGCGACCCTGTATAGGGTTTCTTAGGAGCAAATGGTGAATTTGAGCAAGTGACTTTGCAGTTCAAACTAACATAGTAGTCTGAGTAAATAGCATTTGGCTGTAAGCTCAAAAAACATTTGTTTTAATCTATGTACTTAAATGTTGAGTTTTTATCATCTGAAGAATGATATTGGCATTATTATGAGGATTAAGTAGCTAACGTGTTATATGAAGGTGCTAATACGTAATAGCAGTTCAATAAATTTGGATTTTTAGGGTATAATGCTATAATATTGACTTCATGTATTACAATGGAGTCCTGGTGTGCCCCACTGTGAACCGGAAGGTCAGCAGTTCAAGCTCACCAGCCACTCCTCAGAAACCCTATATAGGGTTACTGTGGGTTGGAACTGACTTGATGGCATTTAACAACAACATATTACAATACCACAGTTTTAACGTTACATTTTTTTTGTCCTGCAGATAGTGTGTATACCAGATCAGTGGCGTATCACTCTGCTTATCATTGTTCTTGTCAATGCCCTTGTTTCTATCATGATGGAGGTAAGCGCTACTGAAATGGCCATCTTACTGCTTTGGGACTTAGCAACTTAATGGTAATTGAGACCAGGATAGGCAATATGGAAACCCACATTTTCATTTTAGCTGAATTCTGTTAGCAGATAGTAGTTTCATGAATGGATAGACATCTTAAAAGGTTTGAGTTAGTTACACTTTGGCAGATGGAGATAGTAAGCAGTGAGATAGTGAAAGGAAAATAAATAAATAAAAGACATAGTGATTGGAGGAGAGGAGAAGCTCGGTGCCCAGATGGACCATAAATTAATGAACCTGTGCCCTGAAATCGGAGTGGGTGTTTATAATAAAGTCTCCCAATTAGCCATTTAAAACTGAATTATGTTCTGCTTAGAACCAAGTTTTTATTTTTTAAATTTTTTTCAGTAATGTAGGGCATTCTGAATGAAATGAGAAAAAATTGGGGTTTTTTGTTGTGGTAATGCGGATTTTGATAAATTACTGAGGATGCATACGTCCCGAGAGGTGCTACAAATTCAGACTCATGCAGCTATATGGACCCCCCATCAGATGTCAGCATATACTAAAAACTTGTTAAGTGCTGACGAGTCGATTCCAACACATAACAACCCTATATAGGGTTTCCAAGGAGCGACTGGTGAGCTTGAACCACCAATCTTGCAGTTCAAACCAACCATGCAGTCCAACACATTAGCCTGCAGCATCCCATCAGGACTCCCATGTGGTTAGCAGGTCCAGTGCTTTTATCCTACAGCATTACACCAGGACTTCCAAAATTGGATGGTAGCGTCCCACTAAACCCAGAGGCAGAAATGTAGGTGGGCACTGTGTGTCCCATGGGTCAGGAAAGATTAAGGAAGGAATCATTAATGAATACTCTTACTAACATGAGTATTGAAAGTATATAATAATCTCAGCATTGGTTCTTGGCACTTTGAAATAACTTCGGGATAATCAGTTTCCACTGTTTGTTGTATATGGACCCTCTCATTATTGATTGCCTTTCAGTCAGCGTCACTAAAAGAAGCTGTCACGTTCTCATTTGCTGCTTTTACTAATAAACTTTTATCTGCGCTTAGAACTACTAGAATTCACGCTTGTATGAGTTATAATAGAGGAGGGAGAGAGAGTAAAGATTTTAAGTTAGGGGTTGCATGGAGCAGACTTGAATTAAAATCAAGGTAATTTGTGGAAAAATATGTGTGCTTCAATGATAAGAACTTTTGACTTAGGAATTATACTTAATTGCAGTTAAACCCTTTTAAAAAATAACTTAGTATTTAAATGCAGGATCCAGTAGACAACATGGATATTGTGGTACCACACTTCCTAAATTTCCCAGTGAAATATATTTGGACAATGGAAAGCACACTTAATATGTCTTATTCTAAATGTATTCCTTTCTCTACAGTGTAGCTTTGTTTTTCACTGATGTTGTTTACTAAGATTAAAAAAAGTTTTAGACTTATTTCATCATCTCTTGTTATTATTATGATCAAAAGAATTACTTATATTGAACATTAATGAAATTTATTTTATAGATAATAGATATTAATTCAATGAAAATAACTTAGTGCTAAGACAAAGACTTCATTATTATGAGCATTGTTTCAATATGGGAAAGATTTAAGGATTCTTATGAAAGCCATATTTTGTGGAAAATTTAGAAGTCCCTTTTCAGCAAATTTGTGATGATTTATATTTGTTACAAGGTCCTGCTGTTACTCATTATCCTTTTGCAGTATTAATTGAAATTCTCTGTTTGAAAGTTAAAAATCATGTTTTTCACCTATGATACAACATTGTGTGAGCCTTTTTAAATGTGCACATTGATAAAGAATGACTTAGTCCTTTTTAATTCTGAACTCACTGGATATCTCTCAGAACTTCTTCCTTGACACGATCCTTTGGAAAATTGTGTTCAGTCGAGACAAACAAGGAGAATATCGCTTCACCACCACACAGCCACCACAGGTTGGAAATTAGCACTTATTATCAATTCTTCACGTGTATTTAGGCTTTTAGTTGTGCACTTTGCATTACGTAGGGTGGTGTTTTGTTATGTCTTGCTAAAACCCTTTTCCCCCATGCTTTGCATTTCATTTCTTTACAGAAGTCCTAGAAAATGCATGACAAACATGTTACAGGATTTTCAGGACTTCAGAAATTTCATAAGTCTTATTTCCATCCAATCCTAACTTTCCATGTGTGTGTAAAGGTTTTATGTTTTATCCTGAAAGGGGAGAGTTAATTTTCCATTTCTATCTGTTGTTAGTACTAACATTTCTGTTTTCATGAGGCCCACTAGAAATGGGAGTATTTTCTTTTTGGTTCAGAGCTCAAAGGCACATTTTGAGGAATTGTTTCTTGTTTCTTAATGATTATTTTCGCTGGCTTTTTTTTTTTACTTATTTTATGTCTCTCACCATTCAGAAAAAATTCAGAGACAGTGCTCATTTTTATGTGAACCATGACTTAGTAGGACTTTTGGCTCTTTAGGTATTTATAACCTATTATTTGAAACATAGCACTAACCTTGTAGTTAAAAAGAGAGAGAGAAGAAACAGAAGACTAAAACACATTTCTTAGTGTTAGAATATTAAAGTGGCTCATAATAGAAAATATGGGTTTATCTTAATAGACTTATTTGTAAATCTGGTAGCAGGGAATCAAAGGTATGAGCCAGCTCTTTTTGAGCATAGAGAACTTGATAGTATAAAGTCTCACTTCTGATTTTCTTAACCTTGTGGGGTTTGTTTGTTTGTTTGAGCTTTATTTTGATAATTCAGCAGGTTGATGTCTCTACAGAGTATTGCAGGGTTGTTTTAATAAAAGCCATTTCCTTTCTTTTCTTTTCTATGAGGACTACTGATGTTTTGATAATGATGGAGTAAATCTGGAATCAGCCTTAGTTACTTTTTCTCAAAGCAATACAATGTCCATTTGCTCCTAGTAGTGGATATGACCAGAGTTCAAGCTTAGTCTCTTCCCTATCCATATTTTTCTTTTGGGTTACTTTACTTTATTGCTTTAGGGGAGTAATTTTGGCTCCTATCATCATCAGCCCTTCCATTAAATATCTGCATTGGTAAGACCCAAACTGAGGAAAATAATGTAAACTGATCTTTCCAAAGAGATCTCTAGTGGTCCAAACAGGAAATGCATGTTCTGAAGAGGAGTTACTTGATTTAGTCAAAAGTGGGTGCCGTAGAGCTCCTTTAAAATATTTAAAGTCCCTCTCCTTTTCAACCAAAATTAAATGGCAGAGCAGTCTATGATTTTCTAAAATCTCAATTTTTTAAAGACATTTATTGATTAGTGTCTATCCTCATTTTTAAGAGTTTGTGTGTCTCATGTGAGGGTGAAGTCCTACCTCTAAAAGGCTCAGTGGAGAAAATACCCCATGTGCTGACTGAGTCTGAGATGCACTGAGTAGATAGCAAATTTAGTCTTCCATTGCTGTGATCAAAATTAAGAAAGCATCATTTTTTTTAAGTGATTGCCTTTAGAAGGAGTTTACATAACCTTTCAGCACAGAGTGATTCACTTTCATTTTCGAATGTTTCTATGTTTAATATGGTTTTGCCATTCTTGTTTGTGACCCTTCAAGTGCTAGTCAGTTAGTTGTATTACCATAAAGCTCTCAATTGTGGATGATTTTCCCCCAGAGGATATTTGGTAGCATCTGGGAACATTTTTGATCGTCACACTGGGGAAGGGGGTTGCCACTAGCACTTGGTTGGAGAGGACAAAGATGCTGCTAAACCTTGCATAATACAGAATTTTTCCACCCAAAATATAAGTAGTGCTGAGATTAAGAAACCCTGTGTCAGTGGTGAATAAGAAAGTAAAGGTGAGAGAGTGACTTGCTGCTCTTTAGAGCTTCTTCCTTCTTTACCATGTAGGAACCACTCAGTTGAGTTGGAACTGGACTATACAGTTATACAGTTGAGTAGGGAAGTAAAGAACCTCATGTAGAAATCTGTCTTAACCATGTTCAAAAGCCTAGAGATCTCACAAGGCACTATACAAGATGTATTCTTATCACTGGATGGGCAGTGATTGACAAAGATGATCTTGCTTCCTTCACTTCAAAAAATAAATAAATAATTGTAGCTGAACTCTGTTAGGGCATAATCTTATCATTGTGAGATATTATAGTTTATAGATAATTTTATACATAATACCTCTGGATCCTTTTAATCCTAAAATATTTCTAACCTTGTTTTAGAAGAAGATGAAGAAGCAGAGCAGAGTATTCATTCGACTTAACAAGTTAGCTACATGAATGGCAGAAGTGAGAGTTGAACCCAGGGTTTCTGGTTTCATGAGGAATGTCCTTTATGCTGCATTTCCTCATATATATCATTTATGGAGCCATGGAGAGATAAACGAATCTAACAATCATATTCCAGCATGGAGACAAACGATACCAACTATGTGGTAGCACTGTGTGAGGCGTCTTATATATCATTGCAACAACTTTGAGAGATAAGAAGAATATCTTTAGTCTCTATTTACCCTAGTTTTCACAGCTGAAGAAACATTGTTAGAACCAGAATTCAAATTCAGTTTTACTAGTTCCACAACCATAATACAACAAAACTTCTATCTATTAAAGACCAAATTAACTTTTTAAAGTGTCATTTTATTTAGTAGTAGACATTTTCAACATGAGTTCGATTTTTTCAGCTAAATGTTCATGTAACTAACCTAATTTAGTTACAGGAAGTAGGATTTTTACAAAAGAGGTACTGTCTCAGTAAATGCCTGTCGAATCATATCAAACCGAGTTAAGTAAACCATTTGCAGATAGTAAGAACTAGAGCTTTTATGTTGCTATCCTTTCTCCTATAATGTTTTTAGCAGCCCCAGATGTTAATACTATTTTTCAGTACACCCTCCCTCGCCACCTCCAAAAAAAAAGGTGCTTGATATTTCAGTGACTGTTTTAAGCAAAGATATTCATGCAAATGCCTTATTGCATCCTTCACCTGAGCTCATTGTTAAGTCATTTTCAACCTATAGCAACCCTGTTGGACAGAGTAGAACTGCCCCCTTAGGTTTACAGGAGGAGGTAGCCACATCTTTCTCCTGGGGAGTAGCTGGTGGGTTTGAACCGGTGACCTTTTGGGCAGCAGCCGAGTTCTTAACCACTACACCATCAGTGCTCCTACGCTAGACCTACTGAATGAAATTGTCCAGTGGTGAGGGTCCATCATCAGTGGTTTGCTGTAAAGCATTACCCCTGTTTGAGAATACCTGTGCCATATATTCTCTTACTAAAAGTATTTGTGCCTGTCCTGTGTACGCTGAGACCACTCACTTAATAGTTGTAGATGTGGAACTAGAATAACTGATTTTGACATGATTTCCAAGCATATGAATGAAGCTAGTCGTCTACATGCTATCATGTAATTTTATCCAGCCTGAGGATTTGTGCCCATTACGTCATCCTACTAAGAGTATTATTGAAGCTTATGTGAGTGGAATGTTAATTATGATTGCATTTGTTTTATATTCAGGATTGGTATGGAAGAAGACTTTCATGAAAACCAGAGAACCATTGCAATACTTTTCCCCCCACAAGCATGGCTTTATTTACATACTACTCATGAAAACATTTCCTAAAAGACATTGCTAAGAGTAAATTGTCATTTGGCTCTGGAATGAGCAGCTTGTAATGGTCTGAGAAGCAAGAGGATTTTATCTCTAGATTTGTTTTTGAAAGCTCTTCCTAGTTTCTCTGCTGGTCTATGGCAACCTCTCTCCCTTCTCTGGGGGATACGTTTGTTTATTTAAGTATTCCTTTCAGAGCAAACCAAAAAATAGTTGCTATAAGTGCTGTGTGTTCTCTTGCTTCAGGGCTCTATGCCCTGGATATTGTAGGAGACCCAAGTGTTCATTCTAGCTCTGTATGCCCACCTCATTGTCTTCTTGTTGCCCAGTGCTCCCTTTTCCCCCTGGCCTCTGTCATCTCTCCCTTGAATCTTTCTCATTCTAGCATGCCTCTCACACCTTTTGTTTTCTCCTATGGTGAATGATACTGTGTTTGAGGGTGTTTGTGGTATGTATGTGTGTTTGTAAACTAATAGACCTGTGTTTGTATTTTGTGTGTATGATGCTTGGGGGAGTTGAGGGTTCAGGTACAGAACATGTTTCTAATTGTGGTGGGGAAAATCCTTTGTGCTCTTCCCAACTTAAAAAATTTTTATTTTGAAATTTTGGCACGTGTATGTTGCTTTTAATAGGGATGTGAGGATTATTATTTTAAACATGCACTTTAATGTAAAAAAGAATACTATTCAGCTATGATTCTGTTTGTAATTAAGTTTTAATTTTGTAGTTTGCCTCACTGTCTACAGGTAGGGAGCAATGGATTTAAATATATAAGGGTAAGTCAAAAAGTATTGCTATAAAACTCATAACCTCCTCCTCTTCATTAATCAAAAATATCAAAACATGAAGCTATTGTTTCTCAAGGTATCCACTGTTTAACTCTGCCCATATTCTGAAGGGTGCTACACTCTTTATTATACCATGTAAAACATGGCAGCTTGGGCATCCTTACTCAGGGACTTAGATCTTGTTCCTTTTAAATGTTGTTTGTGTTTGGGGAACAAAAAGAAGTCTGAAGAGGCAAGGTCAGAGCTGTGGGATGAATGTGGTAAGGTTTCCCAGGGAAATTTTCATAGTACAGCCCCTTGATATCCTCAAATTGCTTTGATGAAAACAATTTCTCAGCACAACTTTTCTGGCCTTTTGCTCACCAAGGTAGTTTTCCATTTTCTTAAAACTTCCTTATAATAAGCCGCGAACGTACTATTGAACATACTGTTTCTTTCAAGAAAATCTCTCAAGATTATCCCTTTGCTGACCTTCTGAGCTGACCATTTCTGTTAACTGGTTCAGCAGATCTTCTTGGAAGCTGATTATACCTTTTTTTTTTTTTTTTTAAGCCACTCTAATAAAACTAAGACAAGTGTATTACTGAAGGAACTTGACTGCAGCCATCCACTGATCAGAGACATGTTTAAACATGTTTTGTTTAGCATAAACATGTGCATGCATAAATTGGAACCCTAGTGGCAGTACTTTTAGACTTACCCTCATAGTGTTGTGCTTTTCATTCCGATACACTTGGCCTGACTTTCCAAACTCTTCGTAAACTCAGCTTGCTGTCATCTTTACTATTCAACCTGGCAGTTTCTGCAGGACCAGCAAGGCCTTGTTCAATTATGTTTCTGCTTTGTTAAAAGCCAGAAATCAACATTAACCTTTTTCTGTGGTCCCTTAACAATAATACTTGCCATAATACAAATAGAAAGTGACAGATTTCAGATTGATTTAGGAACATGATCTTTTCTGCCTAATTAAATGGAAGAATTTAAACACTTTGGAAAAAGGTAGATCCACATATGCACTGTTATCTCAGGTTAATTATTAAGATTCGTTATGCATGTGCTTATCCTGGAAAGGAATTGTTGTCCATAATTTGCGTAACTTGAAGTACCTCATGTGTAGTCTCTTCTGTATCCTAATGCTGAATATGGTTTTTTGGACTTCATTTAAGGTAATGGTAACAACTCAATAAAGAGGGCCGCTAGATCAATAGTCCTTACCACCGTAGAGTTTAATAGAATAATATTTATCCCCACCAGTAGAAGTTGGTTGTGGCCACAGTCTTGCCTTATATTCTTAGTAGCTTAATGTGTTCTATTGACAAAGGAAACTCGACAACCTTGAAAGTGGAAAGCATGGAGTAATTGTCTGCCATGCTCTTAAAGTGTCTTTGCTATTCTCTGCTGGCCAGTTTAGTGTTTCAAAATATATTTGTCATAGCAGTTTTGCCTTTCTTGATCATAAAGGTATTTTGGATGTTAAATTTTTAATATTCGTCCCAGTTATGTTAATGTCTATGCTAGGATTGCTTCAATTGAAATTAGAGCTAGTTGTAGCCCAGGTTGTGTATTGTCAGGCAAACCAAAGTAAAGCAAAACAATGTGAGATGTAAATTTTGCTTTGGAGAAGCAACAGCCAAGATAATTAAGACTTGACTGTTCTTCAGAGGTGAACATAAATAGATTCTAGTATTACAGGCCTTTTTTTTTTTTTTTAGTCTAAGCCAAATTCTGAGTATACCTTCCAGCCCTCTGTTTAATATACATTTAATTGTTTATTAAGGTCATACTTACTAAACATAGTAGCGATGATATTTTTACACTACTCTTCCAAAGATGATCAAATTGCTAAGATGCTAGGAACAATAGTGTTGTTGTTGGATGCCATGGAGTCAGTTCCAACTCATAATGACCCTGTATAGGGTTTCCGAGGCTATAAGTCTTTACGGGCACAGAAAGCCTCATCTTTCTCCTGCATAATCGCTGGTACTTTGGAACTGCTGACCTTGAGGTTAGCAGCCCAACTCATAACCACTACGCTACCAGAGCTCCTTAGGAGCAATAGTACTCATAGATAACTTAGCATAAAATACGAAGGGATAAATATCTGAATTGCTCTCTGTGTGAATAAAGTTATTTTTAACATATTAGACATTTTTTGTGTTAAAGGATTATAGAGTCCCATTCTGTATTGGCTTTAAGGGTTTTTGGCACACAAGAGGGATAGGTACATGCAAAGGGCTTCAAAAAGTTTATGGAAAATGGAATTAATAGGTCATTGAATTTTCCCACAAACTTGAAGCCCCCTTGTGCAACTAAATAAAATGAGGTTAATTACATTGATTACAAAAAAATCTAATCTAAAAAATAATCTGTTCCAACTTAATTGAAAGTTGAGTTTTCAACATGGATTTTTGGATTGTTTGTGGCTCTCAGAAATAATTTCCTCTTAAATGTCTGTTCCAATTGTATACTACATGAAACCTGTTTTGAAGTATTGAACCCTTTAATCAACTAGTCTTTTCTCTTATTTTCTTAGGAGTCAGTGGATCGTTGGGGAAAGTGTTGCTTGTCCTGGGTCCTAAGCTGTAGAAAGAAAATACCAAAGGCAAAGTACATGTACCTGGCACAGGAGCTCTTGGTTGATCCAGAATGGCCACCCAAACCTCAGACAACAACAGAAGCTAAGGCTTTCTTTAAGGAGAACGGATCATGTCAAATCATCACCATAACATAGTAAGGAATTAGTCCCAGTGGTATGCGAATAGCAGTATTCAGGAGAATGTAATTTCAGGACTTTCTGATCCAGTGTGTCAGAGTGACCCCAATGAAATTTATGCCATTTGTGACCTCTAGGTTATAGTAGCTGATTTCAGAGCCTTTTTTTGTTTGTTTATTTACCTTAAACAAATTAAAACAAAAGGTACTGGCTTGTCAGTTAATCCATCTAGAAAGTCCTGTAATAATCTTCATCCACTGATTAAATATTATATACATTTTCAGATTTTTTTTTTTTTTTTAAACCCATAATGGTTTTTTTTAGATTGGGAAAAGAAGAAAAATAGTGTCTGGTAGGTTTGTAGACAGTATTAGCATTTGAAGAATGGCCAACCCCGTAACATTTATTTTAATAATCCTCTTATTAGAAAAAGTATCTACACACCGGACATAAATTAGTGATTATTAAAATTAGGTGTTAATTAGACTCTAGTGAATACAGTTCAGAAACTTGTTTTCATTTAATTCCAATATTTCTTCCAAAGAATTCTGTATACATAGACTGGTTTCTTTGGATGGCCTACAGTAGGAGTGAGATTGTATGATATTGCTGATAGAACAACTCAGGTAATTTCCACTTATGCTTTTATATTTTCTGTACAAACTGCCTGGGTTTTATTTTTCTAATCAGCAAGGTGCTTCTCTGCTTTCTTGTGATGTCTCTCAAAGCTATTAAATGGATCTTGTGCTGTATGTGGTGTCAGTAATATAATTTGCTTCAGTTAGATGATGGAGAACTTTTTCACTAGGTGAAAAGATTCTTTGCCAATAGACATGGATCCAACATTCTAATACCTTTTCATGCCTGGTTGGGGTTTTTCTGTTTGTTCTCCCTGTCCCCTTCTACCCTTTATATTATTTTAAATGTTATTTATTCCTTTTACCCTTTCAGTTACTTAAAGACATGGGATAATAGTATCTTATTTTTAGTTTCTTAGCATTTCCCCTAAGAGTTTTAAGTTTGATCCTTGTCTCCTGTCAATAATGAGAGTTTCAAAAAAAAAAAAGAAAAGTTAATTTGAATGACTGCTGTTTTTTGTTTTGTTTTGGAAGTATTAAGAACTTAGTGGCACTTTGTTTTATGTCACTAGGTGGCACCAGATGCCAGCTGTTAAACGATTTGAGATCAGCTTCTATAGGTGTTTATAAATGAACACATTTGGTTGTGGAAATATCTGGGAGGAAAAAAAAAAATTGAAGACACAAAGTCAAAGAGTAAGCATTCATTGAGCCAAAATGTGGAAAGTATTTTTCGCTTTTCTGTTTTGTCTGGGTGATCTTTAAAATATAAGCAAAATTAAAGTAACTTTAAAAATGCTTTCTATAGGTAAGTAAGATCCAGCAGTTTGGCAAAAGCCCCACAATTAGGATAAATACAGAATGGACACTAACTACTATGTTCTTCCTCGCCAGTAACATGCCTGTGCTTCCCATTTCTAGCTGATCACTATTTTCTTGTTGTACAGTAGTAATTTACCAAGTGTCATCCAGAACAAGAGAGCCCTGTGGCTCTCATTCTTTATGCTGCAGAGACCTGAATGATACTTGGTAACTGTAGAAAAATGTAAGTTACACTCAGGATCACTGTTATTGCTGTTGCCACTGATGATTCTTAGAAAAACTATCATCGAAGTTTTCCATCAGAAAGTATTAATACAATATTAATATATACTAGATTATAGAATAATTTTTCCATGAATGATTCTATAAAGCTATGCATCTTAGACCTCTTGAGCTGTGAATTAGCACCGTTTTCTGTAGCTATGTAATATCTTGATTGTTCTATAATTTCCGTATTCTTTTTCAGTATGTATACGTGTTATTCTTTAGTGATTTCCCAGAATTGGAAATTTTATTCTTTGGTTTAAATACTGAGGCATATAATAAGTAATTGCTAAGTAACAGCTTAAAAGTCCAATTATCAAATTGTATTTAACATCTTTTAGAGCATGATCATAAATAACTATTTTTGAAGTACCCTCCCCTGCTTATTTTTAAACATTTAGAGTTTATATGGGTTTTATATTTCAGATGTCCTTATTGTTTTCAAAGGAGTAAGGTTTTTTAGATAGTTGGATAAAGCATTTGTAGGAAAGTTAGTTTTGACTATAGACAAAGTGGGTTGCTAAAGTTGTGATTGATAGCTTCCAGAATGTTATTAGAAGAAAGTCTGTGAATCCAGGTGTGGGTCCTACTCAGTGTCATAGATAGATTGGTCCTCACTGTGTAGGTCACCAGTACATAGTAATTTTGATTCTGAATTTCACATTAAATTATTTGAGTGTATACAAATCTAAATTTGAAAATCTGTACATATATTATTTTGATGTATTAAGATTGATAAATATTGCTGATTTAAATTTTATTTATGCATATACTTACAGGACAGAAATGTCTGGGAAAGTAATTGTTAAATAATGATATGTAACTTTTTAACTTTTTAAATAAATACAAGATTTTTAAGTGTGTCTCCCTCAGGGTTGTTTAAGGTTTTTGGTTTTTTTCCCCTCCCTCAGATATAAACTATATGTTTTGTATATCATATCACCAACTGCTGTAAAGCAATGCTGCAACTAGTGCTTGAATAAAAGTGGCTAAGCCAACACAACATGAATACTTTTATATTAGTTTTATAATCCCCAAATTTGAAAGTTTTCCAAATTGCACTTGCATTTAAACAAAACTGTTGCAGTTTTTTACTATTTTGCTTCTCATTATGATGGAAGCACGGTTTCAAAGCATGGTAAATATTAATACCACTATGTTTATGTAATCTGTTCCCAAAACAACTTTACATAACAGTATCCACGGAAGAGCAAAATTAAAACTTTAGGAAAATTTCATGCATGCAATTTTGATATGTTTGAAAATAGCTTTTTTTTTTTTTTTAATATATATATTTATGGTGGGAGGTGATTAGGGACTTTTAAAAAATATGAGGGATGTTAATATTTGTACAGTCTATGGGCATTTGCACCTATTTTTAATGTATTAAAATTTGGTAATTATGTGCACATTAAATTAATAAAACAGCTACTTCCTGTTATAACTTGTGAATCCCTAAGACCTTGGGTTTTTTTAAGTGACTTTATATCAGAACTGATACTGCATCTTTATATTTTTTAAAATTGTATTGCTGCTCACGAATGGTACCCTATTGTCAGAAGGCATACATTCATAACTGTACATTCAACACTGTAAATAACTTTATGAAGTCCTTTTGATTGAAGCTATTCAAAATAAAAATTTAAATGAATTAAGTAATATTTCTTTTTTCTCTGACTTTATTACAGTGTTAGCTTTTTACCTACGCGAATACTGATCTTCTGGATTTATTTTCTGTATTATTTCCTCTGTTTCCTTTTTTAAAACTTTGGGATTTGTTTTTTCTTATTTATGATTTTTTAATTGTGGTAAGACGTGTATGTATGTGACATATATGAGGGTTAGTTAAACATAATCTGCACTCTGGATGTAGATTTATTTTAATATGTATTTTTAGGAAAGACATGCCTTTTTTCCACATGATCTCCTTGCTTTTCAATACACTTTGTCCATCTGTCATACTCCTTTATTAAAAAAATGTGTTAAGCTGAACTGCGAGCCATAAATGCACTGCTGTCTTCACTTCTTCATCAGAAGCGAATCTTGGTCCTTGAAGGGCTGCTTCCAGGGGACCAAACAGGTGACAGTCCAATGGAGCAAGATCAGGACCATAGGGAGAATGCTTTAACACTTCAAAAACTTTTGCAGAGTGTCAACAGTGTGAGCAGAGGTTTGGGGACATGTGTTGTCATGCAAGATGACAGTGTCCTTGGATTGCAGTCCTCTGGGTTTAATCTGAAATTTAGGCTTTAGTTCTAAAGTGAGCATCTCAGTGTAACGAGCACTGTTGATTGTTGAACCTTTTTCCTGATAATGTTCCAATACTAGCCCTTGAGAATCCCAGTTTTCCAACTGATGGTTAACTTGAACTTTTTTCTGTGGTAGTTGAAGATGTTTTCATTCCATACTCTGCCATTTACTCTTAGGCTCATAATGATGAATCCCTGTCTCATTACCAGTTAACAATCTCTCTTAAAGAAATTTACCTTCCTTTGACTTACCAGGCCAAATTTTGTTTACAGATGTTCCGACACTCCAGTTTATACTTTTCCTTAGTTGTTTTAGTACCCATCTCACACAGACTTTTCAAAACCCAAGTCTGTCGCGGATTATTCCAGAGGTAGAACCATGGCTGATATTTGCAAATGATTTGCCACATAATCTACTGTCACTCATCTATTGAACAGAAGCATTTTGTATGCACGTTCAGTATTGCCATCAGCCGTGGATGTGGACAAGTGTTTTAATATAACCGGAGTGCAGATAATTTTTGATTCATCCTCATATATTAAGTACCGTGAAATCAGTTCTAAATCTTAGCCACCCTGTACTGTATAGGGTTTCTGTGGAGCAGCTGGTGGGTTTGATAAACAGTCTAATGCTTATCATATATGTTGTTAAGCATGCAATTCAACAACATTAATTTCTTTCACAGTGTTGTGCAGCTATCACCACTATGATTCCAAAGGTTTTCATCCTCCCACATAGAAAGTCTGTACCCTTTAAGCAATCACTGCCCCTCCCCGCCATTCTCTTACCTGTTCTTAGTGCCTGGCTACCTCTAATCTACTTTCTTACTCTAGGAATTTGCCTATTCTGGATATTTCACATGAGTGGATTTCTATAATATTTATACTTTTGTAACTGGCATTTTCATTTAGCCATGTTTTCAGCCTTATTATAACATTTTCGTTATTTTATATGCCTGAATAAGACTCCATTCTGCATGTAACACATTTTGGATACCCTTTCATCTGTTGGTGGGCACGTGGGTTCTTTATACCTTTTGGCTATTGTGAATCACTATGAACACTAGCATACAAGTACTTGCGTCCTTCCCCCCTCCCCCCATTCCTCTGGGAATATACCTCAAAGCGGAATTACGAAGTCATGTGATAATTCTATGTTTTAAATTTCTGAAGAATTGCCAAATTGTTTTCCATAGTGGTTATACCATTCTATATTCCTTCCAGCATTATACAATGATCAT